CCCGCCCCCCTTCCCTTCAGTGGCATCGCCGCCGGCGGAGACTCCGGCTGGTCCACCATTGGCGGCGTCGGCGTCTCTTCGCCGTCGTGGGTATGATTTGCATTCGCTTCCATCCTGAACAAGAAAAGGAAATTTAACAAGAATTACGAGAGACCCAGAAAAATATGATGAAAACCCAGACAAGAAACAAGAGAAAAGATTGCAAATTTGAAATTTTCAGGAGTGAAAAAGTGAAATTGATGTTGCGTACAGTGTGTTGTTCGACGGGCGAATAGAGAGAAGTGTGTTTTGAAACGTTGACTGTGGTTTGAAGCTTTGTGGCGCTGCGGAGGATTAGATTAGAGAGACTAATTCAGAATTGGGAGAGGGGTTTTCGTAATTAAAAAATTGTAAATGTAAAAAAAAAGAAAATAAAAATTGAGACAACAAAAAACGCAGAGAGAAACAAACCCTAACAATGGAAGAGAGAGTGTCCCACTTATCCGTATGGAAGAGAGGGACCCCCACGCTCAGTTCTGTATTTATTTACACAGTGAAATGGAATGGATGGCTGGATACACTCTTCGTGTCAAGTGGGCCTCTAGGATGATGCCACGTACTGAGCCTATGTTCTACAGTGAATTTACTGTGCCTCTTTCAGTTTTGTGCCTAATTCATGACTATTTGCGATTTTCCATTACATACGTGAAAAAAAATAAATAAATAACTTTCCGTATGTGGCGCTGGGTATCAGGAAAGTTATTAAAGTTTTTAAATATAATTAGTTATTATTACTCATTAATTCAATATTTTGAATATTAATGAAAGCATTCATATCCCCTTTCTGTGTGATAAATAGGAAAGAAATAAGTCAGAAATAAATTTTAAAAATGAAGAAAAGAGAAATAAATAAATATATATATATATATAAAATAAAGTGAAATTTTGATTGGTTGATTGAAGAAAAATAGATGAAAAATACGTAAAAAAAAATATTATTATATATGTAAAAGAGAAAGAAATAGATGAAAAATAAAGTATATGAAATAATTTTATTGTTGATATTAATACTTATTTTAATTATTATTTTAATAATTTTTTTATCTTGATTTTTTTTCTATCGCTGAAACACTACTTTAGTTAAAGTTGTCACAATGGGATTTGTAATTTTTTCTTATTTTAGCCTTTTTTTCTATAAAAAAAAAAAAAGTTTTGATTAAGGACATTTTTAACGAGGTACCTTGAGACAATGTATAACTACTCAAATGACTCGTCAATATAATCGCAAAAACATTTTTAGTAAGTATATATGGTCATCCTCACCACAACACTCTAAAAATCCACACTTTACAATTTTACAAGTGATTTTCGAGTAAATGAACTCGTACGTCTTAACAATTTTATAATTTCATATGCGATGTTTGAGAAAATAAGCTTTCACGTCTTTACAATTTCATATGCAATTTTTGAGCAAACGAGCCTCACCTACACCGCCCGTACCCTTCTCACCAAAAGTCGAGGTCGTACCAACTAATGTACCACCAACCTCACACAAGCCACAAACACATCTTCCTACTTATTGGATGACTCCTCCGCATCATCCTTGTTAAGAAGATCATTATCCTTCAACAACTCACCATCAATAACATCAAGGTCAACACTCAACATACTACAAGGGAAATCAAATGCAAGAAACGCCATTTTATGCATAACTCTTTGAAAATTGCACATATATTTCTCGATCACAACAGCCTCCAACATCATCACACGAGTCTAAAACCTTCTAATATGTGACATCATCAAAGCACGCTCTAATGATAAATTTTCCACCTCCCCAACATACTTTGTCAAACGCACACAAGGTTGCGTTCTTTTCAATAACTTCGTTACCAAGTACACCAAGAAATCACCCCCTCCTCAAAATGTTCCTTATATGGCTCAGCTTCTCCTTTTTGGCCTCCAAACGCACAAAAGTCATCGCCAATGCCGCCTTCTTAAATCGACTACTATATAAATCAAATCGTAGAATGTTAACCTCCACCTTCAAAGCCACAAACTCCTCATGATTCAAACCATCATCTTACAAGACAACATTGTTAGCCACGATCCTAAAACCACTACTTTTGACGTCATATGCAAGCACCTACACCCAACAACGATTGAAAATCATCACAAGCAATAAACACCAACATAGGTGACACTACACATAAACATACCTCATAATAACAAAATACAAGAAACAACCCACTGAGCCAATAATGTCAAAAACTGTGGAATAAAACAAAAACTCCCACCTTATATAACATAGGAACCATTGCTTAATTACCGAGTACAAAATCAAAGGCAATACATCACATTTATTACCCATTAAAGCACATGAAAACTATCAACAACCACACATTAAATGTAGCATAAATGACAAAGATAGAACGAACATCAAAGTGCTCTTACCCCAACGATAAGAGCTCAGAGAGCCCTCATACTACCTATACCGATCAACCTGACCGAACCAAACTACTCTTCACTCGTTCATCTTGCCATTAGTGGATGAAGGACCAATCCACCCATAATGGCCTCACTTAGAACTCCTTTGTCATAACGGACTCAAAGCTCGAGGGACTTATGTGCTACCCACCTCGACCAAACTAAAGCTGAGATGACCCCCTCTAGCTCGTCCACGCTTGGCCTCTCACCCATCATCATGAGATAAAATCTTAGGCAATTAACTTATAACGACTATCAACATATTTAAGCACGAGTATCTTATGGAATATCATAATCAAGCACATTATATTCACCTAACAAAATATCTTCACCTATCATGAACAATATTTCTATTAATTAATAATAATATTTTCGCCCAATCACTTAAATATATCTTTAAGATATCATATAACATTATCCCTAAACTTAGAGATAAGATCAATCACATATGGAGCACCAAGTATCATTCTATCATAATCTCATTATTAACCTAGACTTTCCTCTAACTTGAGCATCAGAATGTCTTTATAGGTATCCTACCCTGTTGCGAACATTAGCACAACGGGAACATCATCTCATTGTCAGAGCACTAGTGGGATTCTGGTAATAACACTTATATCTTCTACAAAATTATTTTTATGGGATAGTTGAAAATCTAACATCCTCAAGTTAAATGAAAAGTTTTTATCCGATAAAATATCATGTTATCATATCATATCTAACATATATAAATATTTTATTACATTTATGACCAACTAAAGGTTTCATAAAAAATTAAAAATTTAGAATGGAGGAAATATCAATATATTTTATGAAATTTATATTTACAAAAAGATTAAATAAAATATATAATTTTTTCAATAAAAAATTAACATGTTATTGTATCAAGATTATCTTATTACCATCACTATTATCATTATTGTTGTTGTCACTACCATCGTCATCGTTACGGTTGTCGTTGTTGTCATTATCATCATCACCAATGATAACTATGGTAGTGGTGATTGTGACAATTGGTGGTGGTGATGTTGACAATTATGAAAGAAATAATAGTAATAATCTTGTAAAAGAGTATTTATAATTGAATTTTACTTTTAACCATTATATTCTAAAGAATATGATTTACTAGTCATCTCTCATGATAAAACATATTTTCATTGATATGCTCTCTCTCTCCCCTCCTCTCTCTCTCTTTATATATATATATATATATAA